AAGGTCAAAGCGCGGCTGAAAGCTGCACAGAGGTGCGGATTGGAGCTGAAGATGGTATCTAATTGGGTGCAGCAGCAGCAGCAGCAGCAGCAGCAGCAGCAGTAGCAGCGGCGGTGGCGGCGGCCCTTTCACGTTGGATGATTCGATATCAGGTGGCAGACGTTGTTGCTCACTCGCGGAGCCGCTTACAGGTCGGGGCGAGGAGATCGGGATCATCGGGGGGGTCTCCGCTCCGGAGCGCGAGCTAGAGAGGGAGGCGTGAAAGCACAGAAATGTCAGCGCGGTCGATGCATCGGTATCGACCGGCAGAGATATCGATGCCCTGCAGATATTCCAGCCAGAGGGCTGATTGCATCTGGAACTGTTTACTTTGTGACGCGCTTATACGGCCAAACAACAAAATAGACGGTGTTCAGCCGGTGACCTTTTTTGCCTCTACGGTTTGTCTTTTTTGTACTTTTTTAATGCAACAAAAACGTCTGGTTAAGGTTATAAGGTGAAAACCGCGGCGGTGGTTCTGAGACGACTTTAATAAGTCATTGTAGAGGACGTGATTGGGTTGGTGAGCGTCTTCCTTCCACCAGCAGGACACCGTCCCACTTCCCGCCGCGGCGTGTCGGCGCTGCATGTGAACACAAGTCCTTTTGAGTTGGAACAAACAACCAACGCCGTCGATCTCGTGAGAGGACAGCGTGCTCTTCGTGTTCTCCTTGACAGAAGCTTTTCATTTTTTTTCCCCCAAAATGCAGAAGTGGATCTGGAACAAGATCAGACGCTGACTGAACTCCTCGGTGGATCAGACTGACATCGGTGGGAAATCCATTCGCCGCAGCAGCAGGAGGAGCGAAGCGCGGCGACGGATCCGCCCTCGCGCCCTGACTTCTGAGCAGAGAAACAAAAAAAACAAAGGGAGCGGCCTTTAATCGCACAGCTGGCGCCGAATCCACCCAGAAATCTTTTTTCGCAGGATTTCCTCGTTGCCACGTCGGCAGCGCGCGAGCCGCCTCGGCCTCCGGCGCTCAACCGTCGACGCCAGGAGGAAAAGGCGTAGAAACTGCGACACAAAGAATGAAGAATCGTCAGCATCCCGACAGACATATTTATGTCTACGAAAATGCAAATTAAGTGTTTTATTTAATTCAACCCTCCCCCCCAGTGCTAATGATTAATGGGGCAGACACTGCCTTTTGGATGGAAAGCCTCCCTGACAAAAGCCATTAATACTATAATGCTATTCTGTTCCCGGGCTGCATCTAGTTATCAGTGCAGGGGGAACAAAACATTTGTCTGCATGCGGAACGACCTCGTCACAAGATCGAGACGAAGAAGCGAGAAACCGAAGAGAAGAAGGGAAATCGCCAGCGTCGTGGGAACAAACGCAAATGGACCACACATTTCATTCCGTCAGGCGGCGTCGCCGCATCTTCCGTTGGCCAATGATTGATGGCGGCGGACGTCTCACTTCGGACGGGGGAACGCGCCCGGCACGAGGCGGCAATAAGCAGAGCTGCTTAACATTCTGCTCGCCCTGCTGTCAGGGGGGGGGGGGGGGTGACTTCATGCACGGGTTTTTCATTCGGAGGTAAACATCAAAACCAATTTTCAAGCAAGACCAGAGCCGCAGCTGCCTTTTAGTTTGGTTTTATTACATCAGGGGCTTCACCTGGAAATCTGAGGCTGAGCATGAAAGAGCGTTTTGGTTTGTAAGAACCGTGGCGGTTACCTGCATTCACGTGTGTTGATTTCAGCACCATGTTCATGCGTTTTGGTCTTTTTTAGCTTTAGGTCCGAACAATTTAATCAAAATATCTAACTGGGAGTTTTGGGGATGATGCCGCCATTTATTTTGCGTTGATTTGGGTCGTCGTAGTCAACGTTGTGTGGATTCGTGCGACATACAAACACACAAAGTTAGAAAGTGTCGTAAAGCTTGATAAGTCGTCGGATTGACAAAAAAATGCTTTTTTTACTTCAAAATTAACAATTTGCTTTTGTCGTTTTACAAATCTGAACGAAGACGACTGCTCCTCATCGCCCCCGTTTAAGAGGTCATTGTTTCTTGACAGATGTTTTCCTCTGTGATGACCCGCGGCGGGATGCCGGTCACACACTCACATCAGGATGAATTAACATTAGTCGCTAGAAAAAGCAAACCACGGCAGTTTAAACAAATCTGCTGCCGGGCAAAGACGAACCCTCTCACCTTCAAAATGTCAGCAGATAAAGACACAGCAACATTTTACACTCAGCATCTCCTGGTTTTGCAAAGGTTTCATCATGTTTTTCTGTTACAATTAACGTGTTTATAGCTTCTGAATGTAAAGAGCACAGGAAGTCTTCAAAAACTGAGTCCAGAGCCATTCGTCGGTGTATTTAAGTCTTGTGAGGAAACCTCGCCTCCACCTTTCAATGATCCCGAGTCCTCTTTACATGCTCGAGCAAGAACTGAGAGTCAACATCTGTGAAAATGAATTAGTCGCCGTCAAAGCCGAAGCCTCATAGATGTGCTGCGGTTGAATGTGAAATCTGGAGCTTTTTCATTTTCTATTCCCAGAGTGGTATTTCTAGTTATGGAGCGGATGTTTCACAGAAAATCCCCCTTCATATATATAGACGACCAGAGGTGTTTTTCCATTATAACTATATGTACCATTTACAGCAAATATGCTGGAAACCGGATGCAAATGTGCCACGTCTGCCCCCTTTAATACAGGCATTCCCAAAAGTAGAACTTGAAGGAAAGAAATCCCACCTTACATTTTTTTTTAAATCATCATTGAATTCGCTCTCGTATTTGCCGAACCTGCATTTCTTGTAATGCTTCTCTAAGGCTGTGAAATATAAGCCGTGGATATTGTTCTCACAACCTCTACATGACTGGAGCTTCTGATTTTATGACACTATGGACACATAGATACTTGTTAATGATTAAATCGATCGAATAGCAGTGCAATCAGAAATACACCCTGCTTTATTGTAGCCAGAAGTCGGGGACGTTCCCGCTGTATGCAAACAACTGTATCTGCGTCACTGTCCTCTGTGCCGTGGTTTAAGAATATTACACAGTGAGAAAGGATCCGTCTTCTTTTAACCTCCACAGCGATTCTGCCTGTGTTGCCTTTGACGTCTCTTCTCATTCAGTCCGTCTGGTGCGGTTTCAGCTGCTGGATGTTGATGATGAAAGAGATTATGTGACCTAATATTCTTTATGATCAGAAAGTGGTCTTTGGAGCTTCGTTACTTAAATTAAATTAACGGGTTCTTTTACACGACGAGGCGGCTGATCTGTATTCATGACGGGTTTTTCTTTTGTAGCTCTTTTGCTTTACACTTTACTTTAATTTGGACGCACGTTAGTCGAGTTTAAGTGACGTCCGTACTTTTTTCACCTTGCGCTTTACTCTTAAGTTCACTCAACCCGGACGCGTTCAATCGTGTACCGGGCGGCACGTTTCTGTCAATCGTCGGCGTTGTTCCTTTATCGAGAGTGTAATACAGCACACAGGAGCGTTCAGAACTGCAGACTTGTGTTTCTTAAATTGCTCAGAAGAAGCACAGATAAGCCGGGGGAGGAAAAAACAATCCCAACACAAAAGAAAAAGAAAGTGGAAAACGCTTCACTGTGACGACAACCTGCAAAGTCGATGACTTCCCGAAACGGGAGATTAGGGCGAAAATCACAGCTCACAATCCGACCCCCCCCTCACCCTCCCTCCCCCCCACAATCCCTCCCTCCCCTCGGAAGGGTGAACAGACGCTTTGCTGTCTCAGCTTTCAGCGAAGTTTTGATGATGGCGGCCGGCCTTCGCTCGGACGAGGTCACGGGGTAGCGAGATGGCGGCCGGCCCGGCGCCACCTGTCTGAGCATACGCTCTGAGCCCCCGTATCGGCCTGGGGGGTGGGGAGAGGAGGTGGAGGGCTTGTTTATCGAAGTGTCCGTGTATAAGTGACCCCAGGCGCTCCTGTCAAACCAACCTTGGGCCGCATGCAAATGTGAGTAACCGATCGCCGCTGAGCCTCCCTGCCGATAAACGGCTGAGCGCGGTGTTTTTCTGCTCCGACAGGGAGGAGGGTGGAGGGTGGAGGGAGGAGGGCGGGCGAAATCAACAGCCGGCTCTCCAATCCTCCTTTGCATCCCTCCAGGGTGAGATTTGAATGACCTGATCAATTTCCAATCAGGAAAGACTCGAAAGCCTTTTCTCTCACAGCGATGGACTTTCCCACAAGTCTTTCATAGGGAAGGCTCGCGGCAACGGAGCCTTTCTTTCGGTATATATATATATATATATATATATTTAAGTATAGCGCTTTTAGTTAAGTCACTTCACAGCCGGGGCCAGAGGCGCTGTGTTTTTCGGGTCGTCCGTCCGGCCCGTTATCGTTAACGTGACGTCTCAGCAGCAGCTGGAGGACGGTGGTCAGTTCTTCGTGTTGAAAGCTCGCTCTGCATCCACAAACTAGTTTTCAGCAAATATGGCAATAACAGTGAAGATCTCACAAACGTCTCACGGCGTGGTATTTTTAGGTTATATAAATAAATACAAATCCCTTCAATTAATAGTTGACATTTTTAAAATGGACTAAAAGTCTTAATGTTAAAAAAGTTTGTCACTGGATCAATGTCTCATTCTGGCGTGTCAGTGAATTTTACACAACAACAGCTGTTTCCATTGACATGTCCTTTGCAGTGGCTTTTTCCCCCCCCAGGATATTTACTCAATCAATGCAGACAAATGTTGGTGTTTGATTGTGCTCATAGGAGCTTTAACAGGTTTTGTGTAATTGGGCCTTAAGACAAACAGTAGTAAACGAAGCCCTGAAGGCAACGCGGTCATCGTGCTGCACGTAAAGTGTGACATTATAGCTATAAGTTACAAGAACAGTGTTAGAATAGAATAGAAGAACACTCCCTTTTGTATTCTAACGAATTTTAACAGCCTCACGCGCAGTTTTTCTCAGCAGTTCACTGTCACTAAAACATCCCTTTATTTGCCTTTCAGGTGGATTGTCAAACAATGGATGACACACGGGCCAATCACCTCGCCGAGTCCACGTCGCTGGCCAAAAGCCTCCGGATCTCGTTAACCACGAGTCGTACAAGCTGACCGAATTTACCTTCGTCTGGGCTTCGCAAAGAAACCACACGGATTAATTCCATTATGGACATTCACGGGCCCGACCCCGTGTGGTGCAGCTAACAAGGAGGAAGCAATATACTTGTTCCCTGCTCATTGATTTTAGCTGCGTCAACATGTTTCTCCCCAAGCAGAGAAAAATCCGGACTTTTGCCCTGCTGATTGGCGTCATTACGTTCACAACGTTTCTGTTCAGTTACACCTTCAGGGACCCGTCGGTCGACTTCTTCAGGCACGCTTTCCGCCTCTCGGACGACTTCTTGTCCAAAGGACAATGTGCCTGTCCGCGGTGCGTGGCGGAGGCGGAGGACGACCCCTGGTTCGCCGAGCGCTTCAATCAGTCCGTGCACCCTCTGATGACGAGGGAGAACAGCGTCCTCTCCGAGGAAACCTTCAAATGGTGGCAGGTGAGACTCGGTGGGGGGGGGGGGGGGGGCGCTAAGAGAGAAGACAGGCTGAACGCAGGGATCGTGAATAAAGAGCAGAGATCAAACGCCGCCGCCGAGCTCCCAAAAAGCGTCGCGTTTTTGCCATTTTTGATTATTTTGAAATACAAAAGGACCTTCGCGGGAATCAAGTTGTGAAGCAGACTCCCACGCACAATTTGTTCTCATTTCACAAGTGGGATGGTGGAAATGGAAGTTGTTGTTTGCTCTCCCCATCTTACTTTCCCACATAAATAGACGAACATTTTTGATGTACGGGTGATTTACAATATGCTGGAAACAGGATGCAAATGTGCCACATCTGCTCCCTTGTAGATGCTTTAACACAGTCATTCCCAAGGAAAGACATTTTTTTAAATCATCATTGAATTCATGAAACATCACAACTCTAAAGCGCTCTACTTGTATTCGCCGAACCTTTCTTGTGATGCTTTTTTTAAGGCTGCGAAATATAAGCCGTGGAAATGTTGTAACAACCACTACATGACAGCTTGTACTTAGATGGCAGTGTGACAGGAAGTCCTTGTTAATGATTCACCAGGACACAAAAAACACAGCTTTAATGATTGGCCTCTCTGTACAATTAGTCGGAAGTCATGGACGTTCCCAATGCGATTCATTGGCAGTTAAACCGTTGTTTTCTTCACAGAGAATATTACACAGAGAAAAAGCCTCCACAATGCGCCACATGCCTTCAGATCTTAACTTTCACAATAGAAGCCGAAGAAATATAACCTTCCTTGTTATTACTAATTAACTTATTACCCGTAATTCAATTTTATACGTATTGTACTTTCTGCACGTCCCATTATGAGAGAACAGCGCTCTCCTTTGTCTGGGAGGCATCCGGTGCCTTCGGCGTTCCCGCATTCACCTGCCACCACGTCCAATTAGAGGCAAGAATAGAAAAATTACTGCGAGGTTGCCGCCTGTCACTACTCGTTTAAAGCAGCGCTCCTCACCGGGAGCCCGACGAGGCCTCAACTCTCGCATATCAACGGCAGCCCCGGCCAGATGCTTCAGGGTCAAGGGCGCGACCTCCACGAACGGCTAAGTGTAATTACCGCAGAGGATCGGGTTTCGAATCCGGTTACCGTAATCTCGTTGTTTTTTTTTAATGCAGCCGATAGATTCTCGAGATTGATAGTCGTGTTTCCATAAATGACGCTGAATGAATTGAAGGAAAAACCCTTCCCGGTCACACTCAAAGCGCGAGTCACTACAACTCGTGACTTAGACTCTGAGGTCTGTTTCTGCCGTTGTCGCCAGTGGCTGCAGTCAGAGAGGCGGCCGGCCAACTTCAGCGAGGTGGTGGAGGAGCTGTTCCGAGTCATCCCCGACGAGGTGCTGTACGCCGACGCCGGCCCCAAGCGCTGCCGGACCTGCGCCGTGGTGGGGAACTCCGGGAACCTGAAGGGGGCCCAGTACGGCGCCCTGATCGACTCCTTCGATTTCGTCGTAAGGTCGGTTGACACGTCGGCCCGTTGTGTTTTTAGCGGCCACGCGTTTTTGACACAATAAATATAAGAGATAAAGATTAGCGATGAAGATAACAGATGAGATTTAAAGAGGTTGTAATTTTCCACCTTTGTGCAGTGGAAAAGATTAAAAAAATACACAGAAATAAAATCGTTAAAAACATCACTATATATACATATAATACAATCTATCCAAACCAGCAATGATTACTTTTGTCTCCTGACTAGTTCATTTCTTCCCGCTGTGCAGCGTTCTCTCTCTCTCTCTCTCTCTCTCTCCCACGCTCACCCGCCCTCGTTCTGGGATGGATAAATAAAATGGCAAAAATAATCTTGGCAAAGAAGCTGATAAAAACAACGGTGTTTTGAGTTTTCCAGTGTTTATTCAGTGCCTCGGGGCGGCAGGGAACAAGAGGGGAGCTGCCTGTAATCTGTTACGCCATTTGCGCCTCTGCAGAGAGCGAACTGTAAGAGATGCACAGCGCGACGGAGGAGCTCCTCCAGAGGCGTTGCGGTCGCGCTCTCTGCTGCGGATTCGAACCTTCCGGCGCTACGACCAAATTCAGCTGATGGGGACGTCGGCGGGCGAATAAACATTGTCGCTCGGACTTTAACCCAAGGGTGACATGTTCGAGTCCTGGCTGTCTTTTGCAAGTTCAGACTGAATAAGTACTGACCTGCAGTGGATTGCTATAACTCAATGTTACAGGCTGCTGTCATTCTCAAATCAAAGCAGTCTCCCAACATTATTTCTGCAGAGAATAGATGATGTCATCGAAATTAAAATAACACATTCGGTTAATGACAGTTTAGAGATGTGAGTGTGTGCAGAGATGGAAAAACCAAGGTCTTTCAGATATCCACAATTCAATTGGCCCAGATCCTCACAAGCCTCCTTTTTAGACCATTATGAGTATTAAATGTCATCGGCCTATCGGCTAAAGCCTCTTGTTCGCTCAGCAGATTGTACAGAGATTTGAATCATAAAGAGCCCTTTCATCCGCCTGACAAACATAATAAGCTTGATGGATTTTTCGTGAGGATGCTTCTTCCAAACATTTTTTTTTTTTACATAGTCATGATGAATTAGATTTGAATTATGCTTTTGTTCTTCTAAGAGAAGCCGATGTGTTCCTTGGAAATATTACGGCAGGGAAACTTAAGACACTCACAACAAACTCTTTAATTTAATTGGTAGATTTATTCATTCGTTTAAGCACTGATGCTTTAATCTGCAATGTAAAAATATGTACTGCTAACTTGGTTGTGAATTCTTTAGTGCAACCTCAAGGTGAGGTGCTTAATATAACTATAGTTCTCTTTAAATATGTCATGAATAAATGCAATTAAATTTGCCACATAATGGAAAAGACGGCAAAGCAAAAAATGATGCGAATGCTTGTCTGCACTATAATCCCACACAATTATAATAAAAACACATTTGGAAAACTATTCATCTGACAGGCTTATTTTTTTCCACAATGAAAATGGGATGCGTTGAATAGCACAGGTAACCTTTGGGAATTAGGATGAAAGACATTATTTTCACGTGTAAGTTTAATGGAACGTATTTTATGTAATGTAAAAATATTTTCTCATTATTAAATGATGTAACCCACTTACGATTCGGCCTATTTAGCGAGGTTCAAATCCCTCCACAGCGGCAGTAATTACACCGAGGTGTCGTTCCCTGAACGTTTGGCTTTTGCCCTCCGGACATCTTCCTCTTTGTACCACTGTGGGAGTTTTGAAGGTAACCAGCGTTCTGCGCAGTAAAAAACAATTCCACACAATGGCAGGAGGGAGGTGATAAAACACTGAAACCAGGTCCCGACGTGTCCCTGGATACAATAGTTTCGACCCGCCGGGACGCGTCGTCTCCGTGCAAAGCTCTTTGCCCGTTAGCAGGAGCTACAGCGCGCAGCCAAAAAGGTCACCCGAGTCACGGCGACCCGAGCGGCGCGGACACGTGTTTCACAAGAACTTGGTCAACGTGCTCCCGGTCCAGAATGCATGTTCTATGGAATGCCGATTGCTCCAAAGTCCACAAAGATACCCCACAATCGCTCCTTTGTAACAATTGCTCTTTTGTAACGCGGGATGTCGAGTTCTCTCAGCGCCTCCCTCGTTCTCTTTGCCGTATTTTCTTTAAAGAAGGAGGAGGCCCGTCTTGACTGTGTGGTGGTCTCATCACTCATGTTTACTCTGCTGAATTGAGGATCAGCCAGGCTTATATCCCGTGCTGTGACGTACGCCCTCGCATACAATAACTCCGTCAGGACGGACCTCGGCGCCGGCAGGTGTGACAGGTAGAAACATCCTGTTTGTGGCTGAAAAATCCCTGTTTAAAATTGACTCCGTATCTGAGATGTTCACACGACTAACACGCAGGCTTCTCCAGCTCCGGCTGTCTCCCGTCTGCTGGTAATTGGCTTCTTCAAACCTTTCAGCGAGATTTAGCGCGCGTGTTTTATCGCCACGCCTCCCGAGGGCCCCGCGGATGACCGCGGCGGTCCTCGCCGCTGCCTGTCAGCCATCAACAAAAGCTGCACTTTGTGTTTGTAATCAGCGCCCTTAAGCTCAAATAGAGCCCCTTGCTTTGTTTTCATGATTATATGGCGACGCCAACAGTGCTTGCAAAGATCCTCCATTACTAAAATTTCCCGACGTAAGCGTCGGTTTTCGTGTGTTTAAGCCCCTCTGAGATCCATCCCGGCCTTTGCACGGCTATTTGTTATTTTGACACAAGTATCGAATGGAGTTCAGGCGCTTGATTGCCACCTGGGCAACTATGAACGAGTGTGAGGGCGCTTAGCGGCGCGAGGGCATCAATCAAGGGGCCCGTTTGGTGACAGGAATTCGAATGACCGCCGTCCTTGATCTGTTTGCTATTTGTCTGGTTTATTGACTAGACGGCAGCTCGGCTCCTCGCAGGAATCCCCTCGCAAAGATGATTCGTATTTTCACCTCATTGTTCGTGGGTCGGGGGGGAAACGTTTTTGTCTGCATTGCTTCAAATTCTTTTTGTTCACCGTGAAATCAAAGAAGCGCGGGTCACTCGGATGGCAAAGGTTAAGGCCTTAATTACTCACGCCGTAGCTTTGGATTCATGGTTTTTGCATCGCTGGTGCTGTCGTTGCTCCACACAGAAGGTCGAGAGCGCCGGTCGCCCGAGAGTTGTTTGTTAGATGCGTCACTCTGAAAAGGACGAGATTTATTCCAAGCGGCTTTAGTGAGGACCTTCTGCAAAAGGGTTTTAAAGTTGTTGATGCTTTGATGATGTCGAACCGGATAACCGATAAACCGGATTTTCGAGCATTCCTGAAGTATATCGTTTTTTGAACTGAATAGATTTTGTCTTTCTGGCCTGACAAAGAACGCAGATAAACCATCTGCTATTAATTTAAAACCGCGAGACAGAGCACACATCAGGCCTGCTGGAAAAATCTTTACCCCGAGAACATTTCTCAGAAAAGCTTTTATTTCCGACCGCTCCTGCTGTCCCACGAAGCAGAACAAACACACCCGTTCTCCATTCACCCCATCATACTTTTAAGCAGTGCTTTATTCAGCACGCATACATTAAACATATTATCGAATTTCACTCATTTAAATTGTTCGCTGTTTCCCCAGGATCAATTAATTCACTATTATTCATTTTTCTTGTTATGTCAAGCACCATGAATTTAATGTAATGAGTTGCAAAGTATTCACATAATACCTGTTTGGTTGCTTTTTAAAACTGCAGCCACACAGAGACCAAAACCACATTTTAGCCCGAGGACAATAATAATGTTTCCAGTTCTCAAACAGTCGAACAAAAGGGACGAGTACACACTGTTCGCGCGGCTCCGGGGCAACTGCAGGCCGTCCGGAGCGAAGAGGCGCGCCGTTCTTCGCACGACCTCGAGGGCCACTCTGCGAGTTAAGCATTGGCCTTTTTAATTACAAAGCCCGGAGCTTTAACCTCCTCCCACTCACACTCTGTGCCATCATCTCATCTGGTGACGTGGCCTCATTCTGGCCTGAATGCATCACCTACCTAATAATAAATGTGCAGAGCGTCCTTTCGTCCCGGTGGTTCATTAGTGCAGATGCCTTTTGAAAATGTGCACGCACTCGGGCTTGAAATGCCGCTGACCTTTGAGGCGTCGGACGGCTTTTACTCGCCGCGTGACCCGGCGGCACCGTGAAGCGCCGGGTTCAGCTTTCTGCATTTCGAGGAAAAATGAATAACAGTTAGACAAATAGTGTTGAACTGCCTGCTGGCAGACAAACAGGCTTGACATTAAAGATGCAATTATTCGTGTATCGGCGTCAGTCACACCGTTCAGTTTTTCCTCCCTCTTTCGATCCTTCAACAACCTTTTTAAAAAGTCGGAAATTGCAGATTCACATATCCAAACATTGGATATATTTCATTTGAAGTCCCTTATTTAACTGAATATGATATTAACGTATTTAACTGTACCTATGAAGTCACTAGCGCACATCCACGCCCGTTAAGCCAAACTTCTGTTGTTTCCAGTGATCCTCCTCCATCATTTCAACACTGTTTTATGTTTTCTGTAAATGCCGAAGCACCGTGAGGCCCATGATTAAGCCCACGCCAGCCTGCGAGGCAGCGATCCCGTTAAACTGAGCACTGATGAACGATTCAAGCGCCTGCCTGCGCGACGTTTCATTCACGCGTATTCGCCGTTTGTCTGACTGAACGAGTGAAGGCAGAAGTTGAATATCGATTAGAGCAGTCTGAAACATTCGCCGCCTTTTAGAAGAGTTCACAGCCAGCATTTGACCCCTGCGGCGAGTGATTGCAAAATGGGTAAGATATTCAAAAAGTCTTGTGAATGAATTACCAGGTTATGCTGCCCAGCGCCAGAAAAGCCTCCCTTCTTTATATTGTTGCTGTTCGAAGCATCCAATGAAAATAGTTTAATGAGAACACCAAGGTAATGTGGTGTTGCAGTAAGATACGTCTGAATGTGTTTTTAGTGGTGGTTTGAAATGCTCACAGGGGCCTGCTGGGGCATCAGCAAGTTCAGGGAGACTCACAAACGGCCGACCCCCCTGCAGGCGGAGGTCCATTGGAGTTAGATTTTATTCGTCTTGTGCGTGGCCTCGGGCCTCTGCAGGCTGAATTCTGCTCATCGTGTGCAATGGTTTTACCCTCTGAGCTGCTTTTTTTTATCCGCGCGGGACGACAGGGATCCATTCGGTGTGCAGGTTTAAAATCCCCCAGAAGCTATAGTTACCATTTAGAGAGAGAGATCCACAAAAACTGTTCTTTTCCGGCCAATACTTCGCTGCCTCTATGAACCTGCTTCAGAAGCAACATGCAGCGAAAACCGGCTCTTCTTTCCTCATAGTCAGAGATTATTATTCCTTTATAAGAGCACTGTAAATATGCAAAGAAAAACATGTAGAATGTTAACAATTTTATTCTGGTGCAAAAGTTTTCTGCAAAAATTTCCAGTTTAGAATGATTTTTATCTTCTGTGTAAAAACCTCCGATATCTTTGTGCTTTCTAAGCAGCTCTGTTCACCATTGTATTCATATATGTATATATATATACTAATACTTTACTATACCCTTTATGGAATACAACCATACCTTTGTTATTATTATTTGTGGTCTATCTACGACGTCAGAAGCACAAACGGCAACGTTTTCCCCCCAAATCACATCCATTTAAATCTCATTCCCGTTTGATTATATTTTCCTAATATATGTTCTATTTTCAGTTTCTTCTATTCAAATGCGCCCGAGCGCAGCCGACATCTTACACGTCATCTTACATCTCACGCGTTCATGAAACAGGAGAAAAATAGACACATCTCATCGGCCGGGCGACACAAAGTGCTTCTTTGCAGGAGGTTGTTTGTGAGCCCTGACAGGCTCGGGCTGAAAATGTCACGTTGTTATATATCTGTCATCCCCATCTGTAATGAGGAGTATTGCTCAGGCTGGTGTCGCATGAGAGGGGTGGAGGAGGGGGAGTCGGGGGGTCCTCTTCATGATTTCTCTTCTCTGTCTCACTTCCTTCCACTGTTTGCTGCTCCGGAGTGCGTGTGGTTGGACACAATGATGGAGGCCCAGCGCTTATTGTTGAGCTGCAAATGGACCCTTGATTGTTACGAAACGCCGTTTGGATTGCGACCCATTGTGGTTTTTGTCTCTTGTGTGTTTTTGTGATCTTTTTGCTTTTATCAAAATTGTGGTTGTGGCTGGTGTCGCGTGTTGCCTTTGCCGTTTGGATGAGTACGACAAATAGTCTAATTTATCACATCTTTGTGACACACGGGGGGGAAATAAACCTCAATTGAGATCAAATCATTTGAAAAAAGCCTGGAAGCAATTAAATCTTCTCCTTCCCCCTGCAGAATGAACCAGGCGCCCACGACTGGTTTTGAGGAAGACGTGGGTGCAAAAACAACACATCATCTCATGTATCCAGAAAGTGCCAAAGACCTGGACAACACCACCAGCCTGGTGCTGATCCCCTTCAAGACTCTGGACCTGCAGTGGATCCTCAGTGCTCTGACCACGGGCACCATTAAACAGTGAGTCCGCGTTTGTGTATGACGAGTGGAACGAATCCGCCAAGAATCATCACTGCAGTCTGCGGATCCCACCCCGCGGGAAAAGAACACGAGCAAGGAGTGAAATCAAAGCGAGCGCACAGCGACGTTATTAAAAGGAGCAGCAGGTTTAAGCCCAAAATCCTTTCAGCATCTATTAAGTTTTAAGATTTCTTTTTAACTTTATAGAAACAAATCAAAAACAGGATGCTCTCTAACTTGTAGTCTGTAATTCTTTCTCAACTAATACAATTTAAATATACATGCTTCATTTATCAATTAAAACGCGGCTTGATAACTTATGGCGATGCCTCTTGCTAATTAATTCAATGTCTTCAAATAGCGTCACACTCTCCGATTTGTCACAACACGGATAATCCCTCACGGGTTGATCTTCCACTACATTCCACCTGTCGGCTGCTTCATTCTCATCGAGCCGTAATCATTAGCTTGATTACTGGAAATCCCCCCAAAGAAAGGGAAAAAAAAAAGTCAGGCACCTGCCTGCAGCTATTACGAGCCGGCTTGTTCCAAACGAGAAGGACTAGAGCGTCCAAACCGAATGTCTCTGCTCTCTTCCGTTCCCTGGCAGCGATGTGCGTCCAGCAGGTCTGCAGCCAGTGTTGTGAATCCTTTTGTCACCCTTTTTTTTCACTCTTGTTTAAATAGCTGTCGTACTTTTTTTACCGGTAATTTTCACACTAATTCACCGTAAAAACACGAAGGAATTGGTCGGACTGCTATGTACAGGCGCATATTTCCAAACGTCATTAAACCTTTTTAATTGTCGAGTTTTAATGAGACACAATGCGGCGACGGTAATAGCCTTGATTAAAAAAAAAAAGAAAAAACTATTTTAATTGGAAACATTTGTCTTGGTTGTGTCTTATTACTCTTCATTTCAGTCATCGCTGCGCCTTCCCTCTGCGTTTCAGACCAAGGGCCGCAACCGGCGAGCTGTAGAAACGCCACTGACTTTGTTGTTTTTTTGTCTTTCTTTGTTCGTGAAAAGACGGTGGAGACGCCGGGTTCTGCCTGTGAACATTTTCACATTCAAACTCTACAGCACCTACGACAAGTCGGCCGTCGCGCGCGGTCAGACGAACGTTGCAAAGCGGCAAAACGTGACTGCGAGGATGTGTTGAATTGAGGATACAGGGCATTTATTTTTAGACTATTAAACCAAATCCGTGGATGTGGATGCGATGACACTGATTACAGATGAAATAAAGCACAGCCCCGTGGAGATAAAACAACATTTTTTCACGGCATCTCAGAGCCCATAATCTAAGTTCCTGTTCTTCTCTTGTGTTACAGCACATATACACGGGTACCATCCAGGATTAAGGCAAACAAAGATAAAGTGAGTCAAACTTAATCCCCGGCATGTGGTAGCAATCTCTCATTACTACTCTGTACTGACGCCATTCAAGAAAGTAGCCATGCTGATATATGATTGATAACTGCCAGTGAAGTAATTTTCTTTCTCCTCTTTCACTAAAGTACAAATAGGTGAAATAAATCTGTGCACATTATTTTTTTTTTCCGGCAGGTGTTGATTTACAGTCCGACGTTTTTCAAATACGTCTTCGATACCTGGCTCGAAGGTCACGGGCGATATCCCTCCACCGGCTTCCTCAGCTTAATGCTGGCCGTCCACATATGCGATGAAGTAAGTCGAGCCCCTGATCTTACGGACGACCACCTCGGCGAGCGGGACCTTGCTCGGCCTTCACCTTGTGCGGCCGCCGGGCTTCTGACAACGTGCTTTTGTTCCCCCGTCTGCCGCAGGTCAGCGTGTTTGGATTCGGCGCGGACCAGTACGGAAACTGGCACCACTACTGGGAGGAGAACGATTTGTCCGGAGCGTTCCGACACACGGGCGTCCACGACGGGGATCACGAATACAATGTCACGCTGCAGCTGGCGGACAAGCACAAAATTAAAATGTTCAGAGGCAGATGATCAAACAAACCTCAAAAACGTGAGCGTTTTTTTTGTTGTTGTTTTTGAACGAGAGAGACTTCGGGTTTTCATTTCTACAGACCTTCTCGGGTCTGACAGGCCGTCAAAAAGACAAAAGCACTGCCATCGGTTTGCATTGCCCCGAACCCAGTGTATCATGTGACACGCCTCGTCAGGACAGCTTTTGTACCGTTGTGCGTGCACACTCTTTTGTTGTGGTCTGCTGTGTATGTTCACGGTCACTGCGGATGGATTGTATTCATTGTGTGTATACGATAGTTGTCAACGTTCATCATTCATCACGAGCGTCGGACACGTAATACAGCCTACACACAGGTGCCTTATCACTCAAATCGATACTGTACATTTGTCCTTTACAACGTGACATTTTTCAATAAAAAGTAGTTTTAAGTGCCTTTAATGGGAGGTTTTTGCTTTTAAAATGAACTGTATTGTTATCATGTATTCTTACTTAAAACTATCTGCAACCTTTACAGGTTTACCACCTTAAAAAAAAGACTGGTCGTGTGATTTTGTTTCCTCAGAATGAACCGTTGTTATTTTCTATCGTCGCTTTCTGGAGCCAATCAAACTTTCACATCGTCCGTCTTCAGCTTTCTTTACGCGCTCGGCAGGTGAGACGAGCTTCATTTGGTTGCAGTCTGCAAACTCGCCACCAGGTGGCCGCCAATTCCTCCACACCGCATTTTTGTGTGACACAGAACATTTAAGCACTTCTGTCATTGTCATTTCTTGAGTAAATGCCAGAGACCAAAACGTTGGCTCGGCCACACATCTGGCTTAATTTAAAGCCAGCTCTGTCATCCAGGCTTTAAAACACCAGCTGTTTTTGTTGACACGTCACGTTCACCAAAGAATCTCTGATCCGCAGCATTCTAACTCTTGTCAGGAGTTCAGCTGGGTTACGATTTGAGATGATGGCAAGAGGAAGCGCATCATTTATTCAATTTAAATCCGACAGCCACCATGTAGATTTGTTATGAAGGGGACACTGTCACCTAGTGGCTGAGATCATGTAGATGTCAAACTTGACCCACTAGTACGTCACACACCTGTATTCGATCTTCACTTACATCCAGCTGAGATATAAATTGTTGTAAAAACCAAACAAGCGGCAACTTCACAAAACAATTTTGTTGCGTAATTGATCACTTTTGGGTCATTAATACTGGCTTGTGTGGGGGGGCTTGATATTGAAAAACATTATTATTATTAGCATTATTCAGGGTTTTAGTTATCAATGAACTCTCACAATACAGAAACACGTCATTGGAGTTTTTCGGCTAAAATATTTGATATATTTTTCATATATTTATTCACTTATTGACAAGTACGGGAAGAAGTGTGGGAAGCTGTAATAAGCTTGTATAGTTTTCAGACTAGTATTCAGAATCCACTGTTCAATTTGATGATTTGATGAAATATGTCATGTTTTATTTTAAAGAAATGTGTAACATTTTGGTGGTTCTCGACAGCAAAACAATTGTTTCAATAAACATTGACATTTTCTTCCCTTCGGCAACGACTTTGATCCTTTTCCTCTTTGTGCTCTAAGTGAGATTGTGTTTCCTCTGCTAGATATTTATCTCTTTACCATCATTTAAACTGAAATCAGACACATTTTAATTTGTACACTTTAATTAGCGACTAGGGATTAGAGTGTTCATTTCAGTGCCCCCCCCTCCGTCCTTGTTTGATCCATCATCACAGAGCGCAACTAATATGCTTATAATACAAATATGTGAAAATATGTATGTAAATAAGCTTTATTTTCTTTCCATTTAACATTCAAAAAATGCTGTGATACCATCAGCCTTTAGTCCTAAATATGAAATGATAAACTGTGCTTCAGCAGAAAAAATCTTTGAGTTTTAAATTAAAAGCTTAAATGAGATAAAAAATGTAAGTTGTTATCCCTGCAGGCCTGGCCCTGCACGCTGCTACACATTTCTTAGCTTTTTCTTTTACTTCGTTATGAAGCAGCTCAGCGTCTCACAGCTTTACTTCACAGTACAGCTGTTTTCAGGCTGCTGTGGCAGAAACGTTCTCCTTTTTGCAAATTAGTATAATTAATGTGGTCGCTGAATGAGGAATCAGACTTTTTATATTCTCTATTCTTTTTTACATTTTTAATCTACTAGATATGGGTAAACAGCAAAAACTTGTATTGTCATTCTGACAGCAAATGATTATTACATTAAATTAAAGTTAAAGAACACATACATGGAGTTCTATTCACTCACTTGCGCTTGAGGCTCAGTCTTTATGTACATGTTGCATTAAACATTCAAAATGCTCAGCTTGGCTAATATTGAGATAGAAAGGTAGTGAGCTATTGAAAGCAATGCCTTGTATGGATGCTGCTCAGCCACTATTTTATTCATATATCACCAGGAATCAGAAACTTTTATTGCCAAAATATGTTGGATGTAAAAGGAATTTGACAGGGTGCATAAAAGTGGACAGTAAGAAAAGGAGTCCTGGAGAGAGCCGATCACCCTCTCCGCAGAGCGGATGACACGCTGCAGCCTGCCCTTGTCCTTGGCTGTGGCTGCAGCGTACCAGGCGGTGATGGAGGAGCAGAGGATGGACTCCATGATGGCCGTGTGGAAGTGCACCATCATCGTCTTTGGCAGGTTGAATTTCTTCAGCTGCCTCAGGAAGAACAACCTCCGCTGAGCCTTCTTGGTGATGGAGCTGACGTTCAGCTCCCACTTGAGGTCCCGGGTGATGATGGAGCCCGGGGGGTTCAGGGTGTAAGGCCTGAGGGCGCAAGGTGGACTTCGGGGATTCGGCCCCTCGAATGTCTGCGCGTTCCCCTTTAAATGACGTGGCCGATGACGTCATCCTCGGCCCGTCAAACAGCACAACACGGAAGTGCTCGGTGGCTCAACCTGTAGTTCAACGGAGCGACTTAATGAGCCAATGTTTCCCCTGTAGCACAGGTAAGTCAAGTAACTTAACGCTACAACAACACTTTAAATCCTCAGCGGAATGCGTATTATTATTATTATTATTAGTAGTAGTAGTAGTAATTATTATCTGAGAATAAACACCAGCTGCGATAAAGCGCAGCGTGTCTAAACATGGCAGCGATGGCTAACTTTCTAGTTTCACTTTCTGGCTGAAGACAGAAAAATGGACGCTGCGGTTGGTGAGAAGAAGGGTACAGAAAGAGTAGAGACTCTTATCGGTCAACCGTTGAAGGAAATGCGTCACGTTCGCTCCCCGACTACCGGGGGGGTCAACCGGGCGGCTCCAGAGAGCCGAGCTGCCCGCCCGCCGGGCCGCGGAGGCCCGTCAACGGTCCTGACGGGCTGACGTTAGTTTACAAAAACGGCCAAAAGCGGCTGAGATTCGCCTCTCTGAAGCTAATATGTGTTAATAAGTATCAGCTAAAGACACTCATTCAAACATGTTCCTAAAAACACACAAAGGAATCTTTCCTTAGGCAACTTGTGTGAGAAAATAAAACTTCGTATATATCGTATATATTAAGTATTGTGGTAATAATAAGTATCAGTCTTGTTGTTGTTAATATGTTTAGATGTTAATAAAAATATTAAAAAGTCAATTGTCATACGATTCCAATTAAATTCCTCATTATTTATTACAAAAAAAGTACGTAATTTTCCAAAAATATATTTCTTAAATATATTTTAAAATCAAATGCTGTGACAGCTTTGATACATGTAAAAAATTAAACAATCAAACATAGTTTGATACACAGTGTCGGGCTTCATTATTCAAACAAAGAAATGTGATGAATCTTTTTCTATAAATTATAATAATATGCACCGCGACTCCGTTCTCCAGTCTCTGAAGTTGATACACACCTCACATATTGGCAGTGGAGCCCTGAGACTAACGCATCACCGGAGAAATGCCCCCCAGCATCGAACAGACGCAAACCAAAGATGATAAACGATGTCGTCGAATGATTTGAGCCGCTCAAACAATGTTTTTGTATTCAGCAGAATGCCCGTTGAAAGCCCGGAGGGGAGGACGGTGGAGGTGCTGGCGCTGCCGGCGTCCGTGGACGAGGAGCTGCTCTCTCTGTACTTTGAGAATAAGCGGCGCTCTGGGGGGGGTCCGCTCGTCTTTGTGGAGAAGAAAGGGGACCGCGCCACTCTGGTGTTTGAAGAGGCAGAAGGCAAGTGTTTGACCTGACAACCTTTTGACATTAGCTGCTTCAAAGTCTTTTATGTACTTCGACCACACGGTATTTACAATGTCACAACATCTTTATACAGCCTGTCATCCACCTGCAGAACACTTAGGCAGACACATAGCATTGGTTTGCTAATAAGACATTTTGAGACGCTTAATGGAAACGATGTGTCAACTTGTCATTGAAGCGCCGTGCTTATTCTGCCTTCATTTCTATTTCCACTTTGACAGCTGCAGCCCGAGTGCTGTGTAAAGGCCACCACGTTCTGCATAATGCCGAGCTGAGTGTGAAAAGGCCGGCCTCGGAGAGCCGATGCAGACTGCTGCTGCGGGGGATCAACCCCAACACCTGCACAGAGATGATCGAGCTCTACGTGGAGAACATGATGGACTTGAACGTGCCCGAGTACACTCTGCGTCCCTCGCCGGGGAGAGATTTCATCTGCATTCATCTCAGCCAACCCCTTACAAAAGGTCTGCTTAACACACAGGTTTACCTTTTGTTAATTATAAATCATTCTTAATTAGGTTTTTGTTTTCTTTTGTTGTTTAACACGTTTTGTGTTGTAGATTTCCAAGACCTCAGTGCTAAAATCGCAAAGAGGAAACTGGATGGGGCCGAGGTCACTCTCGAACAGATTGACCCCTCGGACTCCGTGTTGGTGGAGAACCTGCAGCCCGGCACCTCTCCAGACGTGCTCACTGTGTACTTTGAGAGCCTGCGAGGTGGGGGACAAAAGGTGAAGGAGGCCACGATGCTTTCAGAGCATACAGCCAAAGTGTCCTTTCTCAATTATGAGTGTAAGTCTGTTTCTTTTTACAACCTTTTTTAAAACTCTTTTTGTTACGTCATCGATTTCGAACTGTCTGTATTTCCTCTCGACAGCGGTGGGCGTCATTCTCGACCTTTCTCACCGACTGGACGGTGCTGATCTCGTCGTGGGGCCGTACTTTGACTTCCTCCTGCCCACAGAAGAATTAACGTCACGGGACTCTGCGGCTGGAAGTCAAGACGCGACTGAGAGAGACTCTGAGGAAGTTCCGATGCAGACCGGTCCCCCCGCGGTGGTCGCTGCAGACAGCGAGTCCTCATCTCCTCTGGCCTCGAAGCCTCTTGCCGCCCATGAAGCAGCAGAGAGGGAGGCGGCAGAGGTTGTCATGGCGGACGAGAAAGAACTACTCTCAAGCCATATTCCTATCGCTGACCCAGCAAAACTTGCTTTGTTTCAAGTCAGCAGCTTCCTACGGGACACTGTGAACGCCCACCCGAACCTCACCATCCAAGTCAAAGACGATGGCGTGCACATCGCAGGGAGCGACCGAGAGACGCTCGCGCAGATACAACACGCCGCCTCGGGCTGTTTGGGCCAAATGGCCGAGACTCGCGTCACCCTCGAGTCGGAGCAGGCTCGGCTCCTCGCAAGAAGAGACGTAAGAGAGCACCTCCTGCGAGCTCTGGCTCAGACCGGGTCCGCTGCCGCGTACGCCGTGTCGGACTGCGACGTGGCGGTGGCCGCCCCGTCTCGGGACTCCGCCGAGCAGGCGTGCCGCTTTTTGGAATCCCAGCTGTGTCACCTCAGCATCCCGGTGGACACGCAGCACGAGTGCATGCTGTACTGCAGGGAGTGGTCCGAGTTCCTGGAGGCCCTTGGTTTCTCCGCTGTGAAGGTGTCGGAGCGAGGAGGCAGCGTGGAGCTGTTCACTCTGAAGGGGATGGAGGGCGAGAGGCAGACGGCCATCACGAGCTTCCTCGCCACCCCCATCGAACGGGAGACCGTCATCTCCATGGAGCCGGGCGTGCTGAAGTACATCCAGATGCATTGTCATCAGCTGCTGGCTGAAATGAACCAGGTGTCCATCTTTCCTCTGGAAGCGGAGGACGTGTGCGGGTTGAAGGTGAGCCATGCAGCGGTAATCTGGGCCCTGCAGGGGGCGGTTTAACGCTTCAGGCTGCCGGCCTCTAACGTGGTCTTCTTTTTGTAATCGTTTTGTCTCTTTTGTCGTTTTCGTGAACGCACCCGACAGATCCACGGCCAAGCCACCGCTTGTCAAATGGCCGAGGAGGTGTTGCAAGGTGTCGTGTCTTCGGTCTGCACCAGAACCATCACAGTGAACGTTCCGGGAGTGACCCGGTTCTTGAACGAGAAGCTGTGCGCCGGCATCCTGAAGGAGATGGAGACAAAGTTCACGGTGTTGATCATCCCGAAGCACGTTCCCTGGGAATCCCTGGCGCACCAGGTAAGGACGCAGCGCAGGATTTCTGCTCATGTTTTTGTCTCGTGTGTTTTTCAGCCTTTCTCGCAGGAAGCCGGTCAAACTAGTTGTGATTCTTCTTGACGGAAAGCTTTGGGGCTTCGTTCAGAATATCCTCAGGCTGATTTTACGACAGAACTCGGGCAGAAAGGAAACGCTGATGTTTTAAGTCTAACCGCCCGTTTGCACGTAGCATCGACTCAAAAGTCTCTCACGTGCGTGAAAAATGTTTTTCGAAGAACATTTTCAAACGCGATATGTGTTAGAAAAGGCATTGCTGCATGTCAGAGGCAAACATCAGATAAATGAGGACACGTTGCTAGTAAAATATCCACCACACCAGCAGCAGCCTGAGCCGTTGATACAAGGCCGGATGGATTCACGCTTTCATGTCTACCCCAAATTCTGACCCGACCACCTGAATGTCTCAGTTGAGTCTGTGCAAATTGTACTTTGGGTTTTCTGTAGCTTGAAGTCGTCTTCAAGGTTCCGCGTGCTCAGAGATGCTATTCTGCATTCCTTTGGTTTGAGTTACTGCTGCTTTTCCTTCATGGCAAACCTGTCTGCCGGCTCTCCTCTGACATTTCTGAACCTTTCTCTGTAAAACCTAGAGATGGTTGTGCGTGTCCCAGTAGATCAACAACCATGCCACGTTCACGAGTCCCTTAAATCAACTTTCCTCCCATTCCGATGGTCGGTTTGAGTTTCACCACGTCTGCAGGCCTGATTGCATTGAGTGGCGGCGGCGTGATTGGTTGATTAGCAACAGTTGCACCCAATAAAGTAAATATTTAAAGCTGCTGCTTTCCAAAGCATAACAAATTTTAAGATTGTACGTATTATGTAAAAAAAAAAGTCCATGAGAATTTCTCATTTTAATGTGAATTCTGAATTTTGAATTTCTGGTGGCCTGGTTTTGTTTCAGGACATTTTTGATACCGCATGGAACATGATGTCGCAGCAAAACTTCCCGCGAGTTCCCTTCGATGGTTCTGCCCCGGATGCGAAGTCTGATTCCATGCAGACCGATCATAATGGAGCTCCAGATAAAGGTAACGTCTCCGCCTGCTGTCACATGTCATCTTTCCATCTCGCCTCCCTGACCTCTGACCTCTTTGAAGGCCTTTTAGACGAGGCAAAGAGAATCGTCTCGGCCGTCGAAGGAGGACTCGGGCAGTGTGTGACCGGTCCCGACCAGCCCGACGCCATGGATGAGCTGGACCTGTACACGGCGGAGGACCCGACCCCCCTGGCGGACCAGGACCCTCCCGGGATGGCCGTGGATGACACGAGGGAAGGGAACGCAACGAGCGGCTCGCTCCCGCCGAACCTTTCTAGCAACCTCGAAGAAGAGGCCCAAATGTCTCTGGCCATCCAGTACTCCATGGAGTCCAGTCATTGGTCGCCGGAGGAGGAGGAGCAACAGCTGCAGCGGGCCTTGGAGCTGTCGAAGAACATGATCCAACACAAGGCGTCCTCTGGCGCTGACAAGCAGGTGGTGAAGGGCGTAGATGTTTCCTTACAGGAAGCCATCAAGGCAGCCAACACCACACAGATGGTTGTGTACGCGAGTTATAACAGCGACCTGATTCGGGTGGACATAGCTTTCGGGAAGAAGGTCAACCAGAGACAGGTGGAGGAGAAACTGGAGCACAGGTGTGTGAGGAACATGTCCGAGTACCACAGGAAGTGTCTGGAGATGATCAAGAGGAAGCACGCGGTGGAGATCCAAATCCAGGGCACCATCATCACCGTCTCCGGCTTCAAGGACTACGTGACCGGAGGACTGGCCGACTTGAAGCTGCTGCTGGAGAAAATATCTAACTCGGTCACTGACCGGGAAATCCTAAAGACCGTCCAGTGGGCGTATCACGACCCGGCGTCTTCGGACCCGACCCCTTATTGCCCCGAGGCCACCGTGTTCATCGAGAACGCCCTGAGGAGGAAGCTGCAGAAGGTCGACATCCTGTTGGACAATCGGCCCCACACCATTGACTTTGAGAAGATGCAGGAATCCAACGCAGCGTCCGGGAGGTCGGTGAAGATCTCCAGGAAACTGCTTGAATCAGGGGACTTGGATGCTAATGCAACCGGTAAGGAGAACTTTATAGTGCTTCATGTTTCCAAACTAGTGCCTGAAAAGGTTGCGTAGCTAATGCAGACACCGTGTTTCTACTTCATCATTCATGCTTTCAAAGGCTTGCCTCCTGCCGTCATCCAGGACCACACAGGAAATATGTTTAGCGATTCCTTTGTGAACTAGCGAGCTGAGTTAGTTGCTCTTACCTGACCATTTTTTTTATTTGAATAACAGTTATTTCCCAATGTCCCTCGTGTTCATTTTTCTTTTGCTGAATGCCTATGTTGATAATTGCCATGACTTCCATCAACAGAGGAGGAATATTCTCTGCTGTCAATGCTCCCCGAAACGAGCAAAGTGGACGAGGAGTCCGACGAGTTTCAGAACGTGGTGAAGAATTTCTACGCGACCATACAGGAATACCACAGCAAAATCCGAATCATTAAGGTGATTTAAAAACAACAACAACAACAACAACAACAACAACAAGGAGGCCATGTAACACTAACACTGACCCCCTCCAGGTGGAGAAGCTGATGAATCGCCTTCTGTACAACCAGTACAAGCTGAAGAAGGCGAGCGTCCTGCAGCGCGCCACGTATCCGGAGGTCGAGCGGACGCTCTACCACGGCACGAGCGAGAGCAGCGTGAAGGAGATCTGCGTCCACGGGTTCAACCGGAGCTTCTCGGGAAAGAATGGTACGTCTTCTCTCGTTACCCGCCCGCCCGCCCGCCGCGCCTCCTCTCAAAGTGTCCGTCCCTGACGCCTCCGCCCCCTCTCTCTCCCCACGCAGCCACCGTCTATGGCCAGGGCGTGTACTTCGCCGTCAACTCGGCGCTGTCGGTGCAGGACCAGTACTCGCCGCCGAGCGCGGACGGCTACAAGTACGTCTTCGTATCGAAGGTGCTGACGGGGGACTACACCAAAGGGTGCCACTCCATGATCACGGCCCCGCTGAAGGAGACGGACGGCATCCCCCTCCGGTACGACAGCGTGACCAACGACATCACCAGGCCGGCCATGTTTGTCATCTTCAACGACACGCAGGCCTTTCCCGAATATCTCATCACGTGCCAGAGGATCACCCGCTGAGCACCCGCTGAGCCGCGTGTTTAAGGACTTTGGTTACAAAGGGCGAGATATTGTTATGATTTGAGTAACAGCTGTTCTTTTTCATGATGGAAATTTCATCGCGTACTGCGGTTTTATGGGTGGCTCCGCCTTCGCTTCTCCGGTTCATTCGACTCTCACGAAGGGAAGCTCATTTTAATTAAGTAATATTTAATTTGGCCACACACTTTGGTGATTATTCTTCCAAAATGTGTTGTATGTCTGATGTCAAATCAAGTTATTTTCCACACAATGTTTTGGATTTTCTTTCATACAGAAAAAATGGTGGCTGTAACAAAGTTGTTGGTCTGTGATTATTTGGTGTTCATGTTCTTCTTAGTTATATGAGAAGACATTCTGAAAACAGGAGACCGAGTGCACTGGTCCACCGACGATGTTGTTGAAAAACAATAACCGGGTTTTCAAAAAGAAGAATTTGCCCTTGGTTGGAAAATGACTACAGTGGAACTTAATATCATTGTGATTTTATTTTAGTTACATGTTAAATACTAAGCCTTACATAACAGTCACGCATAGCTTACTGTGCACTTAAGAGCAATGTACAATTTATTAAAACGCAATAAACTGAGTTAAGTTGTGTTTGCAAAACATTACTGTTTGTTGCAGTTGTTCATGATTCAGATCACAACTCTCTGCTGGTCTCATATCCGTGTAACTCAAAACATATTTTGATTTTGATTTTATTACAAAGTCATGTCATTTATTTTTTAGAAAACATGAAGACATTAGTCTCAAAAAGGTTAATTATTTTTTAAGAAAAATAAAGCTTCTTTAAATGACATATGGTTAGGAACTTTGTACCAGGCCTGTTGTTTCCCTGTGACTTATTATTAGACATTTGTTACACGCTTAAACAAACACTGATTTGGACTGTTTGCCCAAATGTATTTTTCCTTGTACATGGGTAGCAGGGGCAGACCAAAAAATAGAGGATAAAAGGGAAAAGCTAATAATTGTGATGAGATGTGTGACAAGGAGGGAATGAGGAGACTGCTGAACAGAAGCACAACATATGGATCAGACTAAAAAAAACGTTTAAAACATTACCAATACCTGACGGGTGATGAGGAATAATCTACGTTATGGGGTGCACAAATATCATTTTGTTAGGTTCGGGTATAAGTTTATTGGTTGATCCAGAAGAGAAATTGGAGTTGTTAAGCCGATAAATTGGTTGCCGACCGCCAAAACCCAAAGAAGAAGAAGCAGCTGTTGTGAACACGAGGGGGCAGCAGCGCTGCTTGAGAGCAGCTAGTCTACCGTTAATACGACGACGAAGAAGAAGACACCATAAAGGCAAATAAATTAAGCACCCATCCAGCTAACAGCCAGCCTGAGTCAGTAACGCACACACTATGACACCCTAACTGGTAGCAGAAGAGGGGACAATAAAGCTTCAGACTCTTGTGACGTGTTTGAGATAGGTACGTTCACAAGTTCAATTCACGATTTGCAAAAGCAATCATGCCAGAGAACACAACCGTTGGTCAGTTGCACGCGTTGTGCTAACTAGGCTAGCTCACATGCTAGCTAGAAAGGGGACCGTGTTAATAACGTTGCCGACTATTCTGTACATTCGCGTTCCGCAGATAACGCAGCGGAGCCACGCTAGTCACAACACGACCGACTGTTCCGCTGCTAACGCTGCTAGCGTGCGCCATTGAATCGGTGTTAGCCAAAGCTACTTATCAAGCTAGCTGCCAAAGCTTTTATAAATGATTTTCTCTTAACCAGCGATCTTTTATCGCGGAATACACTTTCACATTAATGCCGTGGATTCCAGTAGACTTGCTTTAAGTGGCTGCATTAAATAACCCCAGCGTAAAGGTTTAAATATAGGACGTTTTACGTGAACTCTGCAGTTAGCCACGGGGTGTCCTCGCGTTACTGGAACGTAGAAGTTAAATTCAAAGCGTTCAACTTCAAAATAAAGCGCTTCTTCACCGAAGATTGGAGGCCGTGGGACATTTAATTTGGCGTGGAGGGTTGTTTTCCCTAACGGAGAATACGCGCTGAAAATCTTGTAAATAAGTTCCTTTATCCAGAAGTTGCCCGTTGTCGTCTGGCAGATGCTGACGGATCCCGCCCGCCATGTACGCCGTGTACCGACAAGCGCACACACCCACTGCGGTGGAGTTCTCCGTCTACTGCAACTTCATATCCAGCAAGGAGAAGAACCTGGTCGTTGCTGGAACATCACAGCTGTACGTGTACAGGATTATCCACGATGTGGAGGTAACCACGCGTCGCCACGCCACTTGTTTCACTGTAGCATGCGTGTTTTGTTTTTGTACACCCTTTTGGGTATTATGTGTAACATTTATGTCCTCGTTTTCAGAGCACGTCGAAAGCTGAGAAGTCTTCAGGTAAGGTCTGGACCTCACACTCCTGATGGGTTAATGATTTCCACTTAAATGAGTGTGTGTGTCATTTAACTTCCTCCCACAGATTCCAAGTCCCGTAAGGAGAAGCTGGAGCAGGTGGCCTCCTTCTCGCTCTTTGGCAATATTATGTCTATGGCCAGTGTGCAGCTGGTGGGAGCCAACAGAGACGCACTCCTTCTCAGCTTCAAAGATGCCAAGGTATCCCCCGTCACGTCCTCATCCTGTACGACTAAACTGCTTCAGATTGTGTTTGACTCCAGTGTTTCCGTGTTCCTCCCCAGTTGTCCGTGGTAGAGTATGACCCCGGGACGCACGACCTCAAGACCCTGTCGCTGCATTACTTTGAGGAGCCGGAGCTCAGAGTACGTAGCCACAGGAACTCGGCACACGTTCGGAAAAAACAGCGAATGCCGACTTGAACCAATTAACTAATTTTCAACTTTTTTCCAGGATGGCTTTGTTCAGAATGTACACATTCCCATCGTCCGCGTAGATCCGGAGAATCGGTGTGCCGTGATGCTGGTTTATGGCACGCAGCTCGTGGTGCTGCCATTCAGGAAGGACACTCTGACCGATGAACAGGAGGGGGGCGTTGGAGAAGGGTACGCCCGATTCCCATTTTAATGTGTAACTGATGTCGTAGTTGCTGTGAATTTATGTGCATGATTAGAGGGCCAAAAAAAGGATGGAAAGCTACAATGTGATTTAAGAATATCCAGCTCAATTTAGCAAAGTTTGCACAGACCGTAGTTCTCGATGCATACCGTTTTAATTATTACCGCGCACACATTTGTGCGATCGTCTACATGCGGGCCTTTCTATCTTTGTTTCTGCAGACCCAAGTCCAGCTTCCTGCCCAGCTACATAATCGATGTCCGTGAGCTGGACGAGAAGCTGCTGAACATCGTCGACATGAAGTTCCTTCATGGCTACTATGAGCCCACGCTGCTCATCCTGTTTGAGCCCAACCAGACGTGGCCCGGGTCAGTCCGCCATAACAACCACGTAGTGTTGTTCCACATTAATCGACCAAGTGTCAGTTAAGATTGTCGCAAGTAAAGCCTTTGTTGGCTGTAAACCTTTCCGATGTTTAACTTCTGACTCCCGATCCTTCCCGCCAGGCGTGTGGCCGTGCGCCAGGACACCTGCAGCATCGTCGCCATCTCCCTCAACATAATGCAGAAGGTTCACCCCGTCATCTGGTCCCTCAGTAATCTGCCCTTTGACTGTACGCAGGTCATGCCGGTTCCCAAGCCAATCGGTGAGCTCGGAGGAATCTCTCCTTCCACCCAAAAGTGTTAAATATGAACTTTACCCCATGTGAGGAGGTGCGTGGTGATGACATGTGGGCTTCATTGAGCTCTTATCCCATCTAGGTGGTGTGGTGGTGTTTGCGGTGAATTCCTTGCTGTATCTGAACCAGAGTGTTCCACCGTACGGCGTTTCTCTCAACTCTCAGACGAATGGGACCACGGCGTTCCCTCTGCGTGAGCAACACCGCCGAACACACACACACACACACACACACACGTGCCTTTGATATCCGTACGCGTTTCATCTGACACTCTGTGACTGGATGTCGGCTCTTGGTTTCCCAGGTGTGCAAGACGAGGTGAAGATCACGCTGGACTGTTCCCAGTCCGACTTCATTGCCTACGACAAGATGGTCATCTCTTTGAAAGGAGGAGAAATGTGAGTCATCACTCCCGGAATGTGCATAAAGAAGTGCTGGCACTTTTTTTTTTTTTTTTTTCTCGACTCCTCACTGAGGGTTTGTTGTCTTGCAGTTATGTATTGACCCTCATAACGGACGGCATGAGAAGTGTCCGAGCGTTCCACTTCGACAAAGCGGCTGCCAGCGTCCTGACAACCTGCGTAAGTTCTGCCTGTGGCTCAGATAAGACGTGGACATCTCAAAACCTCTTGTGGGGAAAAGCCACGTTTTTGTCACACCCGGCTGACTTTTTAAGGCGTAAAGCAAATGCTGAATATCTCCGTATAGTCCGGCAGTTTTTAGTGGCTTCAGCAGCAACTGATGTTTCACGCCGCGGCCTCGCCCCCTGCAGATGGTTACCATGGAGCCCGGCTACCTCTTCCTGGGCTCCCGCCTCGGAAACTCTCTCCTCCTCAAGTACACGGAGAAACTCCAGGAGAAGCTTCAGGAGACGCCGCCAGAGGAGGACAAAGATAAGCTGGAAATGGAGGAGACGGATAAAGATAAACCGGTACGTTTGGTACATTTGAAATGCCGTCTTTCTGTTCACTGGAGCTGTTTGTACAACTTCAGTAAATACTTGGGATGAGCTGCTTGTCATTGTTACGTCACTGTTACATTGACGGCTTGTCTTCGTCACTATAACCTTCGGTGTTCATTTAGAAAGCTTGTAGGTTTAGAAGAAAATACTTAGTGGTTTTTATTAAATTTTTTTATCTTATCTTTGTTTTTATTGCTTAGCTACCAGATAGATATGGTGACAGTTGATATCGAATGACGTTTGTGCCGTCTGGTCGTAGTCTGACTGAGAAACTAAATCACCGATCATGATTTCCAGGAAGAACCGCCGAGCAAAAAGAAGAGAGTAGAATCTTCCAACTGGACGGGTACGTTGCACTCTTGGTTTTGGTTTGTGCGTCATTGTGTCATCTAACGTCTTTGTTTGGTCAGATGAGGTGGACGAGATAGAAGTGTATGGAAGTGAGGCCCAGTCCGGCACTCAGCTGGCTACTTACTCCTTTGAGGTAAACCCCCCCCCACAAAAAACAAGGTAAACCTGAATGTTAAATGACTCTTGTCTAACATTAAAGCTTCTCTGTTGGCATGCAGGTTTGTGATAGCATCCTCAACATTGGGCCGTGTGTGAATGCCTCCATGGGGGAGCCTGCGTTCTTGTCCGAAGAGGTACGCACGTTAAATCCCTCCCCTCCTCCTCCTCGGGTTTGATTGCTTGCGGCCCCCCTTTTTAAAGCCTTTCCGACCCCGGATGTTCGTATCGCCCCACAGTTCCAGAACAACCCGGAGCCCGACCTGGAGGTGGTGGTGTGCTCCGGCTACGGCAAGAACGGCGCGCTGTCCGTACTCCAGGTAGGGCCCCCGCCGCCCCCCCCTCCCAACCAGAGCTGCATGTCCTGTGTGTGTATCTACAGTAAACCGTCTGCTACTTACTTCCTCCCGTTCTGTCCTCAGAGGAGCATCCGACCTCAGGTGGTGA